TCGTGTGACTCATGCTATTAACATGCATTCCGAACTCAACTAAATTCACATATCAACTGATTGTCTTAGAAGTAATAGTAAATATAAATTTGATAAGAAACAAACAAGTTTTCTTGAATATGTGTTAGAAAAAATTTTAAACAAACAAACTGAACTTACTGATTCCAATCTCAACTAGATTCGAAACTCAACTGCAATATATGTCAGTCTTTATACATTATTTACATTTTTTTCTTTGACATTTTCAGCGTCATTTATTTCGAGTGATGCTTACTTTTTTCTTATTTGTATTTACCCTTTTGATCTAAAAGCAAAATTAAAGCTGTAAGGGTGTGGATATGGGATGCAGGGTGTAAATGTGTGGCGTATGTGGGTGTCCATTAAAATACATGGCCACCACCCACACCCGCTTCAGCCACATTGATACCACATACCCATATTCATATTGTCACATGTTTTCGCTCGAGAAATTCAATGAAATGTGTTCTAACATTAGTACAATGGGAGATTTTTCACACACAGAAGACCTACTCCGAGCTATAGAGCATCGAAAAAAATAATAGACTTTAATATTACCTGATGATTATATTTACGAAAAGTCTCTTTGGATTTTATTTTAGTTCCGTTTATGGATATATTTAGTAATGTTGGATTCATTGTTCTAAACTGTCATATTTTGGTTTCAAGGATGAAGTAAGTGAGGCTCATGGAGCAGACATCTGATTTGTTTTTTAACGATTGTTGAGAATTTTGGCCAAGTTGCGCTGAAAAAAGAAACACTTTTATTACTAGGCGACAGCTTGCTTCTTGCATGGACTACTTGAAAGTTGATAAGTAAGATGAATGAAAAAAAAAATTTCATCTTGTCATCTTGCGCATTTTCTAATTGTTTTTTTTTTATTGTGCTCCTCAAACATATAATTTTTTTGCCGACGAAAACAAATGCTACAAGTCAAGATGCGCACTTTCATTCTTGAATCAATAGAAAAATATTGACATGTGTGCCGATAGCATGGATCGTATTCTGGATATTAGTGCAGTTGCCATCGATAAAAAATCTCTCCTTTGTCAAACAAAATGATAAAATTGCAAGCTAGAAGGGCTTTTATGCACAACGTCACAAACAGGTTTAGGAGCGTTTATAAAAAGTGTGTTGTTGTTGCTCACACACAATATCAGTCATAATTCTTTCTTTTTCGACCTTGCGAGTAAATGAACATTCGAATCACAACGATTTCAAACATTATGACTCGCACATAATAAATTGAGTTTTTGGAAACCGATCTCGAACACATGTACTTTACTCTTATTCCAAACTATTAGGCCTATTTTTTACTCCTCTTCAAGGATTCTTCCGACTGATAAGCGTCCACATATTATGAACTACAGCGTTACATTGAAGACACACAGAATATTGAAATTATTCATTAGAACACAAACTGGTTCTGGATAAATTAATTGCAGAAAATTTGTGCAAAATGACTGACGTCAATTACAGTTCTCTCGCTTATCTACTCATCTAAACACAGACCAAAAATATAATTAGAATCCATTTTCAAGGATAATTCGTAGGACATCGATTGAGAATATCACATTTCAATTGAAATAAATGCAATAATCGATTGTAATTAATTTTATCCAGAAAACGATCGACTTTAATCGAGGGAATGAGCGTGTGGGGTGTGCTTGTACATATCTATCAATATATGAACTAAACTTACATTTAAGAACCAGTACCTTCACTAACAAATTGAAATTCACAGGCATCCACAACCACCAGCACCAGCACCTGCACCATACATCTACTTCCGACGAATAACGCACGCTCCATAACTACCCACATCCACATCTACATCCACACCCATTCACACCCCTTTTCTCAACATGTTATCACATGTCACACGTTGGTTTTCTCCCAACGTGTCCTCACGCACTACATGTTGGCTTTTTCCAAGATGTTCTCACGTATTATGCATTGGGTATTTTTCAACATGTTCTCATCTGTTCTTCCGCTATATATACTCTTGTGATTTTCTGTTGCTTCGGTTCTTCTTCTTTGTTGTTGTCATTCATTCTAAGTTAAGTGTTGTGCAATAAACCAGACTCATGTTTTCCACATACCACACACAACATTTACCTCGATCGCTTGCGGCTTGCCATGGTAAGTACAAATGTAATGATTAGATACGATCATTTTTGTTTTTCATTATCATCATGACTTGTCTCTGCTGAAAATGAAGATGCTATATAATCCATTTTTTCAGATTTAAAGATGACATCTTGGCTTGTACTTCCATCACCACCAACAGGCAATAATCGTCATATCGAACTTGCCGGTACCGATCTATGGATTACAGGATGTATCAATAATGTATTCGTCTATCTGTCGGCTTTGGATGTCGATAAATTCAAGGAAGCACTTAGTCGTACTCTCTCCTTGTGGCCTTTTATTGCTGGTCGTTTTCTCGTACTCGATGGTGAACATTATATAATTGAAATGTCCGATAATGCCATTCCAGTCTCCTTGATCGAAAATAATGTTCTTACAAACTGGCCTCTTGATTCGAATGTTGTAATTGACAAGAATTCAAATCAACTTCAACCATATTTGGATGAAGTACAAACTACAAAATTGATAGGGGGTTCTCGGGATGAACCACTTGTCCGTTTGAAACTCTATCATCTCGTACAAAGTGGAGAATGGATAATGGGTGCAAGTTGGTCACATATATTAGGAGATGCTGATGCTTTTTTACATTTTTTAAATACAATTTCACATTTATATCAACAAATGCAACCACTTGAACCGGTGCCTGTCTTCGAAAGACGTTTGTGGTTAAAAGAGGAAGCCGACGAACTTCTTTTACCTGATATAAAACAATTTCTCGATGGTGAACAAATGAAAACAAATGGTATAAACGATCAAGTAACATATGATCAACTCAACATTTGTTTCTCGGAACAACAGCTCATCAAATTGCGTACACTGATCGGTGGTCAATATGTGAGTACTCAAGATACCCTGAGTGCTTACATTATTCTTACACTTAACACTCATTGTATACAAAATGATGACCAACTAATTGTACGTACGAATACAATGATCAATTATCGTAATGTATCCGATTCAGTTGCACCATCTGGTCTTGTTGCAAATGCTGTCTTGATGCCATTATCCGATCGTTTCGAAGATCCAAAATCTCTATCAAGTATTGCGAAAACTATTCGTAATTCAATTAATCAATCGCGTAATGTCGAATTTATTGAACGTTGGGTAGCTACTGCTGATAAAGTGATAAGAACAATAGTGCATGAGAATCGACTTCCTAAAATGTCAACTATTAAGGATCAAATTGTGGTTAATTCTAACGTGCGATATGATTGGGCGAATCTTGTTGATTTTGGTCATACAGACAAATGTCGATTTTATACAATATGGACTCGTGCATTGTATCTTCGTATATTTCGTCTCAATCCAATATATGATGGCACTCAATGGTTGGGAAGAGATCAAAATGGAGCTGAAGTAGCCTTTCGTGTTGAAAAAGACAAGAAGGAAAAATTTATCAAAGCATGGCAGAAAGATATTGTCGAGAATTTTATTAATGTAAAGTTATAAAATAAATTATACATTATATAATAGGAAAGGGCTTGAGGGTGAGGGGTGAGGGGTGAGACTGTGGGTGAGGTTGCGTATGTAGATACAAGGAACACACAAATGAAAAAAAGGTATCAAACAGCCACCACCAGAGTGTGGTGTGGTGTGGGTGTGGGTGTAGAGTTGATACAAACACCCACACCCACACCCTACAACCACACCCCAAATCGTATTCAGTTAGATTTATGAAGTGGGAAACAGCAAAATTTCTTGTCAAAGCATCATCGAACGTGTTTAGGATTTTCAGTCTCACAAATGGACACAAAAGATCGCCTCTGTACACGAATAAATAGTTGACTAAAGCCTAGTATTAAATGAAAGCAAGTCGTTGTGTATCATAAGTGAAAATTTTAGAAACATTCAACAGTTTTCTGTTTTACAGACCAGATATATAGAACTTGAGGGTTTGGGTGTGGGTGTGGGTATGAATGAAGGGAAGGGTTTGGGTGTGGGTGTTAATCTTCCCTTCATTCATACCCACACCCACACCCCACCCACACACACCCCACACCAACACCCACACACCCACACCCACACACCCAGCACAACTGTTCTCATATTTCATTCGAAAATGCCTGCTAATCTTTTGGTCAGTTCTGGTTTCTATTGAACTCGCCAGATCTGAATCGTAGACATTTTCCCGATAGATCGCAACAACATGAAGAATACCTTGAGAGTATTTCGCAGAGTAGCAGCTAGTCAGTCATCGGCACTCCTTCGGGGCGCTACTCGCAGCTAGCCGCTGCCATGCTTAATTCCATTCTGGCATAAGATCGTCCTCTTTGATTTACACACACTCTCTCTCTGATTCTATATTGCGCTTAATTGCAAAAGTCATTAGAATTATAACATGAGAATTCCCATGAGAATTTTCAAAGCTGAAACTTTCTTGTAAACTATTCCTTATGTCTTTATTTTTATTGTCGAGCTAGCCAATCAGAGGTTCACTTAAATTCCTCATTAAGAGAATCTTAGCGTAGTATTCTCCAAAAAAACACTACCCTTTATATAGATCATTTCTGAAGCGAATCAACAGTAAACCTAAAATATGAGCGACTAGTTGTTCGTCGCCGCCTCTCTGGGGTGTCACTCACGGCTAGTCGCTTCATTATTGGAAAGCACCTAAGCAACAGCTAGTTATTCTCTTTTAAACATAAAAAAAATGTGACATCATTTTTATATATTTGTTTATATTACCTTCTTTGAGTCATAGTGGCGAGAAATTCCTTCAGTCAGAACTTCTGCTGAAAAAAAAATGCGAATAATGCAATATTAACCCAGAAAAAACACAATGCGAGCAGGCTCATACCAAAGTATGTGCCTGAGTGGGTAGATCTTGTTCTGCCCCATGCCCACACCATAGAAAAACGTGAGATATAGTTCACGTTAGTGAGTTTGTCGGGTCTGTAATCCCGGTAACACATTTGAATACAGTACTCTCCCAATCAATGCCAGATCACAGGCTCATTTTATTTCATACCACTCAATGGCCAGTGCACCGAAAACTCATTGTTTTCATAAAAAACCTTACCCTGATGATAAAATTAAAGCTGCAAACTTCCAGCAATATACTAAAAATTTGGTTGTCCGAACGTCGATTTAGGCTCGCCAACTTTTCTAAAGTTTTATATGCGAGATAACGACGTGATGGTATGAGAAGAGAACGGAACAAAAGAATAATGCCGTTCGCAAGGAATCCAACGATGCATCTTCTGCTTTCCTGGCAGCTGTATTACCACTATACTAGAAAGGAATGATTATTATCGTCTTTCTTCCGTCTTATAACCGAAGGAGACCCTTCATTTATCACATCAAACATCGTTATTTTCTCGAAAAACCCATTGTTTGACCGAAAAAATCAAAATCAAAATATTGAGACATCGACTTCCGATCCAGATTCCTCGATCCCTATTTACATTCGCCAATCTTTTTAACATGTGAAATCCGACCTCAGATTGGGGATCCTGGCCATCGATAACCTATGGAAAGGTTCCATCAAAAGGCCGACAAAGCTTAAAATGTAAAAGTTCATTTCTGATTGGTCGGTGTCCTAGCCAATGAGAAGGTCAAGTGTAAAATCCGCCCTCATTTTCGGATTTCCCAACCTCAATTACTTTTGACGAAACTTTGGAAGTTACGACTAAATAGACTTCATCTCTGATGTTTTTTTGACCCTGATACATACACACACACTCACAACCGCATTTTATTTCATATGACCCTTCCTACAGTCGAGAGAATATATATATTTACGACGAATTGTCCTGCGATGAATTATCCTAGTGCCCTCTTTCAAATATAGTGAAGTTAAACTGAATATTCTTTTCTTGTTTTCTGTTCTTAAAGATGCAGTTTATTCATTGATTGTCATGCCATATCAGCGAGGAAGTACGTATATCGCTGCATCTTGTATCATATTGACCTTGACAGACAAATAATATGTGGCGTACAACGTGTGCTAAGAAGAAATGTGGCATTTTTTTGCTGCAATATTGACATGAAGAAAAAAACTGGAACGCTTATTCATCAAAAGGTCGTGGTTACTGATGTTTCAAGGCTTATAGGACTTTTTTATTTTTAATTCATTTGGTTAATCTAAATAAATAAAGTTTGAGCTTTAGTAACATTCATGTAATCCTTTCAAATGAATATATACGTTTTTTTTTTATTTCGTTATGCCAATCATTTTGTTAATGATTAATAGTGATTAAATCTATAAAAAGAAAAGTATAGCGTATCTTTCCTTTCAGATAAAATGATCACTAGAATGGAAACCATACCTAATGAAATTCTTCTTCATATCTTTTCTTATCTGTCATGGTTCGATATGTTAACATGTTTATGGTCATTAAATATGCGCTTGAATTCTCTTGTATGTTCAATTTTATCGATAAATAACAATCGGTTGAATAGTGGTATTCTTATTACACATGGTTTATCTTATAATAAATGTTGTTCGATATTATTTCCATTGATTTTAAATTCATCATCTGTTTATTCTTCTATTCGACGTATTCATTTTGATGACAAAAATTCAATTTCTTCTGATCTTTGCTATGAATGGTTATTTAATGATAAAAATATTCTTCGTTTTCCTAATCTTAAATCACTTATTCTTATTCGATGTGGATCAATTGAATCGGTAGTTCAAAGTTTGTTTTATCTTATTAAACATCAATTAGATGAACTTACATTAACATTTGATCAGCACGTATTTGACCGGTTTTTTTATGTAAAAAGATATTTGTCCGTGGTTTCTAACAAAGGTAACCAATCATTTATGTGATAGATTCTATAACGCAAGATAGGATTATCTGTCTTGAATAAATCCTCAACTGAGACTATTTAGATCCTATAGAAATCCTTTCACTGAAACAGAGAGGAGTATTTAAGTATCAAACAATAAGACCTATTTTCGAGAAAAATTTTGGATTGAAATCTATATTTGACAATTGTTGACAATCACTATTACTGAGTGAAAATCTAGTAAAATGGTCACCTGGCTGTAGAATACAAGAATATGGTCGCGAATCAACCTTGCTTTTTCCTTGTCTAACGCATCCTACACAATAAGATAACGTGTCAGCTTAAAATTGATTTATCACATCATGAGATTTTCTGTTAAGATATAGCAATTAATATGATAAATAATAATGTTCAATATTACTAGTTTCATTATTTTCTTGTTGTGCAAGACAAACATTAAATGTGAATAAGTAGTGTATGCCATTATGAATAAATTTTGGTTGATTGTCAATTGTATCTCACAATTATATTAAACATGTTCCAATCATTTATTCATTGAAACGTCAACCAACTGTTATAACTATTCAGTTGATTCAACAGAAATATAATAAAATTTATTTTATTATTTTTTTCTATATTTATTCCCAATATTTGATATTTTAATCAATCAAAAAAAGAATGAGATTTTTTAGTTTTATATTATTAGACCTTAAATAAAAAAGAATTTTTCATAACAAAAAAGTTTTCTTTTGAATAATAGAAATATCTTTGTCTTGTTTTTCTTTGATAAGTAATAGAAAAACAACTAAACATGATCAAACAACTTCTTTGTCAATTATTCTCTGTCGAATGTAAATTAAAATCTCTTCGACTTGATATTAGCAATGAATTTAGGGATGGTTTTATTCAACGATGTTTACCATCAAATCCTTATCTCTCTTCCAATTTTACTCAATATCAACATCAATCTTGTGTAACTCTTCGTCATTTACATATTCGACTTAATCAAATATCCTTTTTTGAAAATCTAATTGAATATGTACCAAATCTCGAACAAATGTCAGTTGAGATTTATGATTCAATAAATTCATATGCATTAAGGATGCCAAGTGTTGAAACATTGAGTCAATCAAACGAAAATTGGTTTAATAAAGTAAGAAAAAAACAAATAATAATCATCTTTTATCATTTAATGAATTTCTTAAAATATTTATTTCTTTTGATTGATAAAAAACAATTATATCATTTTAGGTACCAAAACTACGATGTTTTAGTTTAAAAACTTTCATTAGCGATGACTTGAATATTATTTATGTGAAATGGCTTCTTAATAATATGAATTATGTTGAAAAACTTCAACTTCATCTTAGATGTCATAAATTAATCGAAACAAGATGCCAGAACATATTGAAATCTTTTATTGATGCAAATTTTATTCGTCAATATTGTTTACCTGATACAATACCTAATTTAATTTATTTCAATTTTTATATTTGTTCACAATGCCAATTATCATTTGATGATATAGAAAGAATAACAAATTCATTTAAAATTCATTCTTTTTTTATTGAACATCAATGGACAAATGTCAAATGTTTGTTTGATCAAATAATGTCATGTCAACATCTTTTCTCTTCTTTCATCAATACATCTCAGATCTCCGATAATCTCATGTTAGATATTTGTCTTTATGAAAACTCTGAGAACTTCTTTAT